TTGGTGGTTAGCTGTTGCTCCTCCCAACCCTGACACCCCATAACCGGTTTCATCCTCATTTGAACTCATCAGTTGGAGATAGCCTGAGCTGGGGTGGACCTCGAGGCCTAGTGTTCAAAGGTTGACGCCTTGACCACTATGGCTCCTAGGTCCGCGAGCAACGCTTGGCACAGCGGTAAAGAGTTCCAGGTGGCATTTGGTGTACCCGCTGTGTGGTTGAACACTAGGCCTCGAGGTCCACCCCAGCTCAGGCTATCTCCAACTGATGAGTTCAAATGAGGATGAAACCGGTTATGGGGTGTCAGGGTTGGGAGGAGCAACACCTAACCACCAATTCGGTAACGGTCCTTGTGATCGTAATGACCGAAGTCTACTCAGGACCGAGGTCTGAATAGAGATTGCGAGTCGCAATCCAACCACACAGCGGGTACACCAAATGATTTTGGTTGCTTCAGGCAATCCGAAAAGACCTCAAAGTCTGGGAACCAACACGTCGGGCTGTTGTAACAGGCGTTTGGACAAATAAACAACTCCATATTTCGACAAATGCTCAGTGCGTATGTTTGCCCTCATGTCGAATACGCAATTCAAGCCTGGCATCTATGGCTGAAATACGACCTTAATGCATTAGAACAGCCCTAACGTCGGGCATCTAAGAACGTAATTGGAATGCGCAATTTTTCATACCAGGAGAGGCTGCAACGATTGGGATTATTTAGTGGAAGCTGTCGTAGACTACGTGGCGATCTGATTATGGCTTACTTGATTCTACGAGACCCACATCATATGTCCGCCCTTTACTGCAACTCAACGGCAATACAAACCTGAGCGGCCTCGCTTTGAACGTCGCTTTACAGTATAGGCGTCTGGAGTGCCGCAGAAAGTTCTTTTCCATTCGTGTCTGTCACTCGTGGAATGCACTCCCAGAATCGGTCGTCTCTGCACCTACACTAGCAGAATGTAAAAGACGGTTGGATGATGCACTCATCCACTTACACTTTGTCACTTAGCACTATGTCTTCATCCTACACCTGGAGTTGGCCATTGAATTATTTGATGTTAACTGTGGGTGCTGTGAATCTAAGCGGATCGCAGGACTGTAGCGAAGCAAACGATAAGTCCCTAGTTGCATATTTAAAGTACTAACGGTTTTACTTTCTTTTTTATCATTATTGTTATTTCGATATCCCCATCAACTATCTAACGGGACTTGTAAAGCAACGTTTCTTAACCCGTGTAAATCCATTGTTCATTGTTCAGTAACACTTCACCTTTTCTGCACACGGTAATCTTGTTTGTAATACCGGTTGCGTGCAATTCCTCATCAGTCAACCAGTCAAATACTCTCAACAATGTGATCTACCAACAATCGTTACACTGGCACTGCCATGCTGATTGATACCATTAAACAGGATACATTATAGTCGTCTGGCAACGACAAACCTGGATCGATATTCACGAGCTCCCAATGTCATTACTTTTGTTTAAACGCCATCCTCTATCCTTGAATGTGGGCACAATGGTTTCGGGATGCAGAGAAATGGAAACATCAGTTCGAATAATATAAAACTGCTAGTGACATACAAGCGAGTTGCAAGTCATTGAACTGCAGTGCACGAGCGTTTTAGCTCCTCGTGACCAATAAGCAGTGAGACGCAGGAGGCTGCATGTACAGTACGGTTCCTGTTGCGATATGTGTTCCAGTTTCGTGTGTCTCGCGCTATCACAGATGTTATTAGCATGGAGTCAGCACCGATCCAATGGACAACTGCGAGCGCCTGTTACACCGTCTGTTTCTTAATAGCACCGCTTTTAGACACAGTGAACGCCGAATTTTCACTTGGCATCCCTCTATAGCTGACCAGTGATAAATCAAAATGAACCGTTTTGCCACAAGTTACAGGTGGCGTCGTTTCATCCTGGATTGCCGGTCGTTCTCGGATATCTCCGCCGAGTCTAACAGTGCCACGCCAGACTGTCGTTGTTCTATTAACTTTACGGGAGGTGTCTCCCTCGATTGGCTAGTGTGATGTTGTCTCTGCTCTCAGTCAGATAAGCATACTAGGGTACTAGGCTTACAGAAATTTCGCTATCTCGTCCAAATTACACTGCCCTTCAAGTAAATGGGATTTTGGCCGTCATGTACGATGCGTGAACCTCCACTTGCTCTACTGTTAATCGCTATCATTTGATACATGAGATGTTAGTGAACCTGTTGGTATCCAGGAAGAACGTCCCTGCTGGCTCTCAGCACTATGTAACCAGACGGAATATTAAGTGCGAACTAAAGCGGAGCCTACGTGCTGTCAAGTAATCGCAGTGGACCAGTAGGGTCCAAGAAGTTGAGGAGGCTAGACCCGTAGACAATTGTCGTGAGCTCGTCCAACTGGTCCGAAACACTGGAACCAAATATCACGCGGCAGTGTAACAACCAAAGATAGTGCGTTGCCCAAATTCACAATAGTCAGCTCCTGCTGGACGGAGGACTTTCGGGAGCATTTCCACTGGCCCCGTGCTCCTGGAACACTTCCTATCCAGTTGATACAGAATCAATCATGTAGGGTAAGTTTAGGGTGTCCATCAGAGGCTGAGGTACGAAAGGCGATCAGAACTTTAAATGTTTTTGAGTTTCTGGTCCGGATTCACTTGCGCCCGAATTATTTACGGATGGCGAAGCTTATATGCATGAACTGATCTTCCTGCTCGCACAGGTCCGGAAGGAATAGAAGATCCCAAATAACCGAAGCGAATCGATCGAAGTGGCGACATATAAAAACGGCAGTCCAATGACCGGGACAACCACAACCGGGACAACACAACCACAACAAGGATAAGTAAAACGCTTTTCGGCAATTCACTTTATACAAGTGTAACGGCAAGACTAAGATAAACTTGACAAGTAAGCGAACGCTGAGGGTGCACTTGGTTGAGTCAACGAACGCGATCAATAATCCGCTCGATACCGTCATTCGTGATGAGGTGCGCGAGCAGGCGCGAAGAAGCACACACGCAGAAAGCACAGAGGCGTTGGCCGGTGGGTCTACGATGGTCCCTCTCAGCAGTAATCACGGTCCGACATTACGGCCACGGTAGCATGATAGATTGTATCAGTGTTCTCTGATTGCACACATCCGGCTAATGTATTCTGATTGTAATGGCTTCAGCTGTGACTAACAAGCGCTTTCTGACTCATTTGGGGTTACGCCTCTTTGCCTTATAGAGAGGAATTGGAAGGCGTAATCCGTCTGAATCTGATGGGAGGTACTAAGTAAATGTTCGAGGATATAGCTGAAAACAGGGTAGGGCAGTGTTCAGCAATCAGTCTTGATAGAGGCCTGGTTGTGTGCCCAAGATAACTAACAGCACACGTTCGGGTGAACTGATATAGAACACGATAACCGGAAACAGCCAGGATTCTATCTTTGAGGCATTGAGTGACGAGCGGAACAGTTTAAGCAAAGATATGCACTTTAGCTGCCGGATATGTTTGGCTCACTACCGACAATAACGTCTATTCAGAAAAGTCAAAAGCGATATGTCCCTTTAAAGGAATTGAGAGGAAAACATCTTTTTATTGAAGTCTATATCGCTTTATTTAGAGCGGAATGCTTTTTGTTAAACAGTGGGATACCCTTTGCTTTGTAGTGTACTGTGAATGAAATCCCTTTCAGCTTCTAGCGTTTCTGGACTGCAACTTCTTGCGGCCCGATAGTACAGCCAACGCAAAAATTGCGTTTGTATGTATGGGTACAAATCTAATGGAGGGCGTGTAATCACCCACTCAGATTGTCTTACGGAGATTCTTTTATATAGAAACATCGGCTCGACGTCGCAACATATCCAGAAACGGATATTCTCCGTCATTCTTCAACTAGAAAGTGAATTTTCTTGATGGGTGCACGTGGTTAAACTGGTCCAGTAAGAGAGCAGGAGCAACGTGGGAGTCACACATGATGAACCTGTTTTTCATACACCACCGTTAGAGATAATTGAATAAATATATTGTCGCATAGGGCCACGCTGTCTATTTTCTGATACACACAAACCTGCCTAAGGCGACCACATAAGGGACCAACAAAAAGTGGTCACCTTGGACAGCTTCATGCATAGGGCCAATACTCATAAGAGAAAACGTTCGGGATGATTTTGGCTGGTCGCTATAGATGGCTTATGATAAACGCACATTTTTGTTGGTCCCAGTGTAAATCATGGGAAAACGCGTTTTTCCCGACACTTCCACTCCCAAGAACACTCGTACCTTGTACGACGTGAATCCAGCTACAAGGACCGTGTTGGACGACGTTTCCGGTCGGTACAACTCCTGGGTTGCAGTCAGATTCGACCTGGGGTTGTGCGTAGGACTACTCTCAATTAGCTAGCGAAAGCGTGAACTTGTCTAGCAGTATTTCAAACAGCAATTCTTCATTAACAGCAACTGTGACATTTTCGCGGAGTGAACGGATTTACTTATTGTGCCGTACCCATTTAGGATGTCCAACCATTACTTGGTATATTATGAAACCACAGCGGCCTACGACCACTGGTGGGACCGATGATACATGACTTGTCTGTAGTCACGAGGGTAGATAAAATCAAAAACTGAAATGTTGCCTCTGGTTTGTGTACCGGGGTTGGTGAGGATTTTTCCGACGGGGGCCTCATGTCATAGATGGTGTGTGGTTTTCGTTCCATTAGGCATGTGACAAAGGGGGATTTATTTAGCATTGCCGGTTTTGGTGTGTTCTTCTAAGGCATAAGGAAATCGTGAATCTTTTCATTCGTGGTTATCAATTTATATGTATCGATCACGGCTTGCTTAGGAATCGGTAGGTCGAATGTAAGTAGAGTTACTTCAAGATAATCGGAGTGAAAAAGTATTCAGTATGCGAGTTTAATCAATGCATATTACATGTCGTCACCTAGACCAGTCGTTAACATTTTCACCTAGTTTCCACTAGAGGCTATTCAAAGTTCGTTCAATCTTGCGCACATTACTTTAGGGTCGGTCAAACGGAGAAGCGATAATCCAATTTGTTTCTGAGAAAGCAGCCCAATGGATGATAGAACAAAAACATGGTAGTATCTTCTTCAAGCGGACAGCACAAACAGTGACCTCCAGCTTTGTGGAGGTCATACAATGCACAGCCGAAGATGTGACACAATTGATGTACACGGTGGCTGCTTTGGTACAAGCCAACATACATACCGCGAAACCGTTGCACGGAGAATTGCAACAGATGTCACTTTTTCCAGCAATATTCAACCCTCTGGATATTCATGTGAATCCCCCCGCATTGCCATATTTGCCATACCATGGATCAGAAGTGATTCTCAACTCCTTAGGTTTGCCCGGCATAGTTACACCGCCTTGTTCGCATATGAACATGCAATTCGCAGCAAGGAGCACACACCCAATTGGACCAATGTATACACCAGGGAACAATAGGACAGAAGTGTTTATTGGAGCTACGCCACCCATGTCAATAGCTACCGAGCTTCCCATGCATGGTAAGTTGTGCAGTTATTCCATTGGTTGGAAGTGTTTAATTTTTCGGATGAAAGCATTCCGAAATCATTACCCAGTTTGTTCTTCCCCACTGTAATCATTCAGCAAATCTTCTAACTGGAGGTTCTTCTAGTGGTCGATACTTTGATATTATTAAAGTTACATATACTTCGGTGCGGCAATACACACAGGACAAACGGGACACCAAAAAATGTCTACCGGCATCACTGTAACTGTTGGCTATTCTCTGGTTGCATCAAACATTTCATTGAGAACACCGATTTACGACGATGAAGGTATTCATGACAGTATCTCACTTATGGGTATGTCGGACATAGAACATAGAAAACCATTTCCAATCCTAAAATAACCAGGCGCTTACTCTGGTCTGGTGGGTCATAAGCCCGATGGAACGATGGCTTTATCCGGGTAAAAAAGCTAATGCTTAACGAGTCCCGTAGGATGGCTATGGTGAAAATACAAAATATAAAAATTGTTAGCAAAACAGGGTTTACACTGAACTATACGTAGTATAGATTGTAAATCCAAGGTAAATCCGTGAGAACTGACGACAAGTCGGAAGTTGGTAAAACTCGTGTATCCTTCTGGTGTACACATACAGGAGGTGAAAAATGTGGAACGAAATCTGTGTGCGTTGTGACCGCCAGTGAAATTGCTTACAGACACTTGTGTTTATCCATTAGTACTGGGTCATGCAAGATGGTGCAGGGAAATAAGTGCACAATCAACTCGGGTTTTGAACTCTGCCAGATTAGGAGCACATATGACAGATTCCGGTATGGGATTGCACGTACGGCAAATGCGTCGGGAAAAGATATCCCACGGCATTCTAAGCGACTGTGTTGCTCTGTCTGCTTGAGATGGTGACATCTCATCTGCTGTTGTGAGTGATACGGGACGTGTGGTTGGGGTCTCTCAAAACCTGGTAATTGAATTTGAGGATCCCGCTCAATCGCCGATACCGTCTGCTGAATTCCCCGAGCGCTTGTATTCTTCGTTTACACAGCAAATCATACAGACCCTAGATATTCTTGGTTGCCCGTCGTTGGCGTATATCCAAGTCGCTGAGATCTCTCCTCAGCTGTAGCTGCCAGACCTATATTGCGAAGTCCACATGTAGCCTTATGTATGAGCCGAGAAGTTGTGGAAAAATCGACAGGTCGAATCGTCCAAGTGCACGATTCAGAGGCCGACATGTTGGATGCCTCTGGCTGCTTTGAAAATCCTACGTCGACATGGACAGAAGCTCCCAAATGCTTCTTGCTAGAAGAGATCTGAAGCTGTTGGTTCCAGTTTGGTAGATGTGCACCAATCCGGGCGGAAGGTGCAGCACTCTACAGTTGTCCACATTGAATCAAAGTCTGTTTTGTGTTGAAGACGCTTATACCCCATCTAGATCAGCCTGAAGTATTGTGATATCGTCTAGTATTTTGATCGACTTCTAAACCTTGATGTCTTTGGCATAAATAAGGCAGTTCGTGGTTATGGAGCGTGTGATATCACCAAAGTGCGTCACAAGTAATCCTGGTCCTAGTACGGATCTCTGTGGTACTCCGCATTCAACTTCCTTGGGATTTGACAGCAAATCATGCACATGTACGTCCAGGCCACGATGTAGAATCAAATTTCTGATCCCTCCTAGGAGAGGATCACCAATACCGTCTAACGTTCGAAAAGCATCATACTATGGTCTAACCATTAAATTCATTTTTGAAGTCAAATAAGGCTACATAAACTCCTGTGCCATGGTCTATTACTTCAGTCCAGCTGGTTCGTGCTAGTATAGACTTGTAGTACACGATCGATTTCGTCGGAAGCCATCTGTTCCGATGCGTGGTAGTTAAATTCTTCTAAGTAATAGGTTAGCGCTTTAATAATAATAGCTTTCATGAATTTTGAAATCACTGATAGTGAGATAATGGTGCAGGGAAATAAGCGCACAATCAACTCGGGTTTTGAACTGTGCCAGCGTGGGAGTACACATGACAGACTCCGGTAGGGCATTCCGCCTTCTGCAAATGCGCACGAAAAAGAAATTCTGACAGCATTCCAAACGACTGTGCTGCTTTGTCAGCTTGAGATGGTGGCCACTCAAATTGCTGTTGCGACTGAGCTTTAGCAAATGGCGGTATGTGTGGTTGGGATCACTCAAAATCTGGTAAACATAAATGAGGTCCCCATGCAATCGCCGATATTGTCCACTGAAAACCCGGAGCACTTAAGCCTACGTTCATACGGCAAATTTTACAGACCCTTGGCGTTGTTGGTTGCGCGGCGTTGGGGTATCTCCAAGGCGATAATATCTCTCCGCAGGTGTGGCTATCAGATCTGTATTGCGCATTCCATAAGTGGCCATATGTATGAGCTGAGGTTGGGAAAAAATTGAGCGGTCGTGTCGTCCGAATGCACGCTTCAGGGGGCCTACGTGTTGGGTGCCCTCCTTGACACCGTTTCCGTCTGATTCGAAGACCCGGGGTCAACCTGGATAAATACTACCCAGATCATCTCGTCAGAAGTCCTTTGAAGTTCCTGGAAGGAATGCACCAAGTTGTGCGGTAGATGCGACACTCTACTTTTGTCCACCTTGAATGGAAATAGATTCTGGATTGACAACGCGTTCAAAAATTCAACTACCTGGGAAGTCGTGTCAGCGCCCGTGGGATTGAAGATGAGATCACGAACCGTATAGCAAAAGCTCGAGGCACTTTTGCTAACCTTCACCACCTATGGCACCTGCGAGACACCATTCTTGCCCTGAAGGGTAGAGTGTACAATGCAGCGGTACGTTCGACCCTACTGTACGGTTGTGAAACCTGGCCCCTTAGATCAACGGACATAAAGTGGCTAGTGATGTTCGACCACCGTTGCCTTCGCAATTTAGCTCACATCTGGTGGGAATACCGAGTAACCAACGAGTGTGTTTGACGCCTTGTTTAGGGCACAGGGAAGGGAACTGAACAGCTCAGCACCGTTATTTCACGCACCAGGCTCCGATGGCTTGGTCACGTGTTTCGTATGCCAGCCCACCGACTCCCGCGAAGTGCGTTATTTGCGCACCGGGGGTGTGGATGGAAGGTTGGCCAAGCGATGACTCGGTAGAGAGGAAAGAGGGCCCCCACTTCGAAGCTGGCCTCAGTTGGAGTGTCCCGGCTCCCTGGTTGGGGTCCGAAAGACGATGAACACGTTTGGCTGGGGAGGCACTTGTTGATATGGGTAGGAGTCAACCTCAATGGCGTTCGTGCTGTGAGTTCCCTTGGCCCACCTCATCCCTGTAAGCCTTCCCCTCCAACCACAATATCACTATTTAGTTTTATATAATTTCGCATAGTAACTTTTCTTTTTTGCTGCATAGTATCTGATATAACCTGAACTGTTCTAGTAGGTGGATAGAACACTAGATCGTGGAAATGACCGGTAGTATTGATACAGCGGATCAAGAGATACTGACAAGCAGAGTCAACAAAGTGTCAACAGAAAGTTCACGTGTTTACCAGACTCACTGGCATATATCGGTTTCGTTGGTTCCAGCTTGGTGGTGATTGGCTGGACAGTTGTATGGTCTGATTGGATGACAGCACTCTATTTTGGGTTGGGTCCCGTATGGGACACCTCCCTCTTCTTTTGATATGTCTGCCCGTAGTTGCCAACCGTTGGGTGTAGATCGCTTGGCTTTCGTTTTCCACTCGATCCGCATTTGCATTTGTCGGTTTCGGCACTGAGAACTCCTCCAGTAATAACTGAAATCAAACTGGGAATTGTGACGAGGTAAATACTGATTGTTATCGGAGCGGTGTCTGAGCTGGTTCATATGCCTGTGCCATGTCTGACCGCTGACCTCTACTAGGTACGTAACTCGACCAATCCGTCTGGTGATTACACCTGGCGTCCATCTGTTTTGGGACGGCCGAAAGTCTCTTGTCCATACCAAGTCACCTGGTTTTAACGTTCTCGCTATTACGTGCTGTTTGGGTTGCGCAGATTCTGTTGTTTCCGGCTTGGCTAATTCTCTCACCTCCGGAACGATTATGTCCCAAATTGACCTGATCTGACGGTTAAACAACATTTCCGACGGTGACCTTCCGTTACAAGCGGGGTGTGGTGTGATTCGATACATCATTAGGAATGTGTGTATGCAATCGTCCCTGGGGCCGTCGCCTCGCCCTTTGATAAGTGCACGCTTGAACGTATCGACGAATCGCTCAACCTGACCGTTCGATTGCGACAAAATGTTGCGAATTCTTCGCTAGTAAATTGTGGGCCATTATCGCTGAAATAACCGTTGTGAAATGGACTGCTGTAACCCTGCATCGATTATTACGGGAGGAATGCTGATGCCCAGTGTCAGTTTGCAGACTTTATCGAACGGAATACTCCAAAGATTGAAAGTATCTAACCAGTCAATGCCGAGAATATTCAATCCTGGTTGGTTAGTGAGGTAGCATATAGACTCAAATGTTTGACCATTATAAGATACCAAGCAACGTAACTCACCAACCAAACCGAGAGTTGTTCCGGATGCACTGAGGGCTGTCTGTTGAGTGGGCATAACTGGAGGACCTCCGATGGATTCCCAAATCGTTTGCGAAATAATCGTGATATCCGATCCTGTGTCTACCTGGAGAGTCGCGGGATACCCGTTTACACTCACTGTTAGCTGGCGTCTTCGCGATGTCGCGTTGACTTGATAGCTAGCAACAATGCTGCGACTAGCCTTCTGCGATGGTTTCGGAAACCGTTTGTTGGAATTTTCAGATTTAGTTGAGTTGCGTGGCTTGCAGAAACCATCTTTGTGACCAAAGCGTTGACACTGATTGCACCGATGTCGGCGAAAAGTGCACTGTGGGGCGTAGTGCCATGCGCCACAGTTCCAACATGCTGTTGGTGGCTTTTTGGACTCCTGTTTGTGTGCTCTGACCAGTCTGACATCTGCCATGTTGATCTGCTGCTGTTCCACCATACGGGAATCATGCTTCAAATTGAT